ATGCAGAGGACACTGAGTCTTTAAAAGCTTTGTAACTTGTTCAAGGAGGTTTGTGCACATGCATACTTCTAGGACTGGGCTCTTCCTCAGTTCAAGCCCCAGAGGCACCCCCTGCTTGGGCTGCGGTTTCCCCTGAGCCAGCAGCTGTTTGCTACGAGTGACCTCCAGGATCTTTCCTGAGGTTGAAGGTGAAGCTAAAAGGCTTCCAGTGGGCTAAGACTGCCTGTGGAATGTCACAGTGCTCTGAAAAGGCTGCTTCAGGCAGAGAGGCCCAGGTTCGCCAGTCCCAGGCATTTTCACCCACATGCGGCACCTGACTCCCCTTTCCAAGTGAAGCTGGGCCACCACTTCCTGAAACCCCTCCACTGAAACCTGCCCTGCCTGTCTGTATGAGCATCACCTCTCTGGCTCTGACAGTGCTCTGCTACAAGCCCTCATTCTCCCGCATTGGTTCAGCATGAACCAGAATGTTCTGTGATCCTTAAAAGACTCACAAGCCTTTGAGTCTTTTCACAGGGTTTTCTAATTTTCTGCTCTTCCCAAGTAATGCAAGCATCGGTTCACTTTCTTCCTAAGGTTGCCAAGCTTCCTCCTTCCATGTTCCTGCTCATTCTCCTCCTGAGAGGCCCCACACGGAGTGACCCTTCTGTGTGAGCCTCTTGCTCCATGGAACCCCAGTCCCCTGGGCCTGCTATGCCCTCACTGTGGTGTTCCTTCTCTCCCACATAGTTACAGCGACCTCTGGCTTATGCTAAGCCTCTCAGAGATCTTAAGTTGTATTAAACCAACACAGTTATTTTATGGTGCAATTACGTTAATCTTCTCATATTGGGAACCTGGATTCACTGAGAGGATAAATCACACCATTGCCCACTGGTGACAGTGACAATCAGAGGAGGCATTACAGTGCAGCCAGGGCTCTAGTACTTGGTGACCACCACAGTATTGCCTTGCTTGAATTAGTGGTTCTCTTCAGGGCTGCTCTAGACCAGTGATAGTGAACCTTTTAGAGCTTTCACCACATGCGCCATAGGTTCACCACAACTGCTCTATAATCAATGCCTCCCCATTCATAGTTGAAACTCTAGCCCCTGACATGATATTATTAGGAGGCAGGGCTTTTAGAAGGTGATTAGGTCATTAGGATGGAGCCCTCATGAATGGGATCAGTGCCTTTATCAAAGGAACCCTGGAGAGCTAATATGATGACATAGGTCTATGAAGTGAAAAGACCATGGTCTATGAAGTAGACCATGAAATAGGTTCTCAGAAGACACTAAATTTGAAGATGCTTTCATCTGGGACTTCCAGGCTCCAGAATTCTGAGAAATAAATGTTTGTTGTTTGCAAACCACCCAATCTGTGGGATTCTGTTATGGCAGCCCATGTGGATGAAGACAAGGAAGTTGCTATAGCTCTATCTTAGATGCCCCAGGATTTTTGCAATAGTTACAGCTGTCGTGGCCTGATATTTTATATTCTTGATCAATAAACTGTCCAACAAAGTCTCATAAGATTGATGTTCCCATTTTGCAGATGTAGACACTGAGGCATATTGGTATAGAGCTCAAGATGAAGTGGCAGAGCTATTTGCAGGGTTGCCAGCTTCTTTACTACAAGGCTTTTCAGAGCCTTTGCTATGTTGTTAAGTGTTTTGAATCTCTAAGAGGAGATTTAGAATATGTTAATCATACTTGTAATATATTTTTGCAAAGGCAGACCAGTTCTCTGAAGCTCTCATGAGAAACACTGGTTTAAAGCCATTTTCTTTTCCTTTCCCCTCCACAAATCTGCCTCTGAAGTGCCAGTTCTAATTTCCTCTCCTTCCCAGATGGCAGCATTGGTGCAAACTACAATGAACTGTTGAACCTGAGTGGACTTTTTGTATGAGGATGATTATAGCTATGAGCCATCAAGGCCATTTTTAATATGTTAATAGTTCTGCTTAACAAAAGCAGGTAGTCGGTATCCCCAAGTAAGAGGCACCATGAGCAGAGATGCCCCTGCACACCTGAGTCCAGGGCAGAAACACTCCCCAGAGAGGCACTCTCTCATTAAAAGTCATGGTACATCTCACACTTTTAAAATCTTTGGAAAGTATTTTTTGCTTCAGTTTTTGTTTCAAAACTAGTGACAGAGAACAAGATCAAATCTACACATCAGGCCAGCCTCCTTTTAGCTGTCAAGTGAGTGTTTTGATTTGTGAGTATGCTGGAGTGGGGGTTATCACTGAATGCAAGACCTGGGGAGCATTCCAGTTGTGATTCCAGCCTGTCAAGGGTCCCTGAACCTGATAAAGAGAGACCCACAGTAGAGCTATCTTGTCATGTGACTCTCTTTCTCTCTCTTTCTCTTTCTCTCTCTCTCTCAGAGATAGTCTTACTCTTTTATGGGGGTTGGTCTTGAACTCATGAACTTAAACAATTCTCCCATGTCAGCCATTGGAGTAGCTGGGACTATGGGTGCCTGACACCCTGCCTGACATCTCTCACCCTATGAGCATGATTGGACAAGGACATGATTCATGAGGATGCTGCAGTCATTTTGAGACCATGAGGAGAGTCTCATTGGTCTACTAAAGACGGTAGAGCAAGAGGATGGAAAGGGCTGGGGGTCTTTGAGATCATTTACTCTCTACTTTTTATTATTTATAATATTAATAAACTCTGCTGATCAGTTAGTTGCTTTCAGTTGGGTGCTTTGTTAGCTGCATCCTAAAGCACCGCAATGGAAATAGTTGCCCAAAGTAAAAATCAAACAATTTTACATAAAAATGAAGACTTCTCATTTCTTAAAAAAAAAAACAAGAATATCTCAAAAACCCTAGGTTTGCCTTCCTACCAGGCAAACAGAATCAACACGAGCTAAAGAGACCCAGCACCATTTCCCTGAGGTGTGTGGCCTTGGTTTTCCAAAGTCTCTACTCTTCCCTGATGTCCCTGGCCTGCATCTTTCACTGCATCCCCTCCCAGTCCCTAGAAGTACAGGTGTTTTTGACCCTGTGACTGCCAATCGCCAGTTAGGACTCTGAGCAGGTTTACTCAGTAAGGGAGGAAAAGTCTTGCAGCCCACAGCTTGTGTGCAACCTGTCTTGCCAAAGAGATGGAATTGGTAGCCCTTCATATCCAGGAAAGATCAGGGGCCAAGGGACAAGTGGCCTCATCGTAGTCATTTTATTTGTTCATAATGATGTTACATTTCCCTCACATTAATGGAGCATGAAATTAAAACATATGGACCCACAAAAACACCTGTCTTTTGTGCACTGCCTTTCGCTATTAATTATGACTCCTAAGGATCCTGCCATTTGCTTCATGTTATTGTGTCCTTTGTAATTTTAATTACATTTTAATCAAGGCTTTTACACAGCCTGTTCTAGGGCTTTCAGTCTAATTATCAGCATTAACAATATTCTGTTCTTTGTTACTTTGTAGAGTCCTGGCCATGTTAGGCATTTATCTTAAATGTACACCACATGGTCCAGAATTTTAAGTGATCGTTAACTGAAGTGTAATTCTTTCCCTTTCCTTCTACCTGCTAAAGCAGAATTTGGGCAAAAATAGAATTAAGTAACTATGTGGACCCTATCAGGCTTTCTAACAGTTCTTCCTTTCCCCAAATGTTTGTTTTTTGCTTTATTTTTGACAATTGTGGAATTTTTATTAAATCTGAAAATTAATCTTTTAATTTGCTATGAATTTAGCTTTGGATTTAAAATTATGTTTTATAAAGTAGTATAATTTAACTTTTAAAGTATCTCTCATTCATTTTCAAAGTTGTTTGCAAGTGTAGCTCTGTGATTTTATAAAATCAGTGGTTTGACTTTGGACGAAAGTCAATTCAGGGCTTCTCCTCCCTCGCCCCACCCAGGGGACAATCACAGGGCTCTGTACAAAAACCAGTTTGGAAGAACCTCAGCTTTGGAGACTGCACTGGGGCTCACCAACCAGCTTTTTATGTGGTGGTACCTGTATGCCAGGGTTAAGCCTCTAGCAGAGTTGACTAATCAAAGGCACACCCAACCCAGAACCATACATTTATACAGCACTCAAGTGTTTCAAAATGCAGACTTCTACACTAACTCCTGGGAATCGACTCTCTCTGGAAACTAAAGATGCATCAGCTTGGAGTATCCAGGCCCAGGAACCTGGTGAGCCATGGGGATGCATCTGAGCAGAGGTGAACAAGGAATGCTCTCAGCTTTGAAAAGAACAGGCTGGCCAAAGAGCAGAGTGCTCTGTATGCAGGCTGAAAAGATTAATGTTGACTGGCTGCATTCAACAATGCAAAGAGCTGAGCCAGAAACAGTGTCCTCCCCATTTTGTTCTTGTGCCTTCTGCCAGAGACCTATCACAATGATGTTTCCTGCCAGAGTGGAGCAGGACAGTGCCATCACCCCCAAACACATTAGTGCAGAGCTCTACCAAACACAGATTCTAATGGGAACAACTCTCAATCCAAAACTACTTATCTCCAATGGTCACTCAGCCACTCCCTTGACGTAAGCCCATAGCAGTGGTTGTCCGATTTGTGACATTAGTCACACCACTTCCTAGTGTGCTACAGAATTTTCTGTAAGAGGTTGAGCTACAGACACACTGACTCCCACACCTAGACCGGAAGGCTGGAAGAATATTGGACCTGGAAACCCAGAGACACCTGCAGTGACCTTTACAGTGAACTTCTCCCCAACATGAGTCCTCTGCGTCTTTATTTCCTTTGTACTTTGTAGAGGTCTATGTATGGAGTTATTTATCTCATACCCTTCTGAATCAGTGCTTCAAAAAGCCCTGGAAATGTCACAGCTACACCTCTAATTTTAAAACCCATTTGAGAGACATGTGCTATGAGAAGATGACAGCTCAGATGTGAGCTTTTTGTTCCAACCTCAGCTCCTGGAATGACCTATGGGCAGAGCTGGCTTTGAGCGTCTGCTGCGAAACCTCAGGCAGTACTGGATGATTTTTTGTCACAGTGTACAGCCAACACCACGTCTTCCAGGTATGAGGTTTATTATGTTTGACAACCATGAGAACAGAGGAAAGTGGTTGTTACAGCAAACATTTCAGGTGGAGGAATCAGCCGAGCTACACCCACCCCATCTCTGCAGCCTTCTTCCCCCACATCTCTCAGATTGTTCCTGCTGTCCTAACCTTATAATTTCAAAAACGCTGATAGGGAACACTGAGAGTGGCAAGAACGCCATTGGCAAAATGGAACGAGAAGAAGGGAAACTCTGAGAGACAACTGATGAGAAACACACTACAGAAAACCATTTTCCACTGTGTTGTGAAGTCAGGGTGGAAGAATGGGCCGGGGGCTCAGGGTCCATGCGCCCAGGATTCTCATCATACAGGGCCTTCAGTGATCCCCTCCAGAGGCAAGGTGGGCGCATTGTCAGCTGTGGGCATCTCCTCCTTCTTCATTGAGGTCAGCATTCGAAGACTGACATATGGTTTATGACAAGCTGTGTTGGCCAGCGGAGGGTAGTGCTGTCTGTAGCAGATGTACGCAAAAATGAGGCCGATCACTCCACCAACAAAAGAATCTAGGGAGCAAGGAGCAAAATGGGAGAAATGTGTTACTCTTCATTCACATGCGGCCGGTTAAGTTTTCCGGAAAGCACTTTTCCCACCTGCTCCAGGAATTGGCTTGCTTACAGGACACCCTGGAAAACTAAAGGAAAGAAACCACACTGGAAGTGTAAATATCAGTATGTTCTGCAAGCATCCTCCTTTCTAGCACTTAAAAAAAAAAGAGCACTTGGTTCTTCCCTTCATTTCTTTAACTCACATCTGAACATAGCATAAACTATTATTTTCCTGATTTTTAAATTAATTTTATTGGTACATTTTAGGTATACATGTACCATCATTGGAAATTTGCACCTTTACATAATCTCTCTTGGTTCTTGTTTCCCCATTCCTCTGCCCTCCCTTCAACCTCTCATTCCTCCCTAATTTTCCTGATTTTTAAAGTCAATTCTAAACTCTTAAAGAATTCCAGCCACCTCTCTAGCATGCAAATATTCTCAGGGGGTGTGATTTTTGTCTTCCCTAAGCAGTTCCCCACTAGAGTCTTCAGATCTTGTTGGTGGGCCACAAAAACCCAGCGGGTACACTGGTCTCTGCCTGGGGTAAGCAGATTCCTTCAGACAAAGTGAATAAAATATCTGACAGGGTTGGCACATTCAGCAAACTTCTGCAGGGAGATGTCTGATCTCTCCACTAAGATCCAAATATCACAAAGTTGAAGAAGCCACAATAGGCAGATGAGGCAGGAAAGCATGTGTGCAGGCAAGACAGGCCCTCCGACATGGGTCAGCCCCTCACCAAAGAGGGTGTTCGGCTCTTGTGAAGAGACCCCACACAAGTAGCCCACCACAATAGCTCTCGCTGTGTGGGCACTGCCTCTATGGATCATTCTTGCCAAAATATCCTAACACAGTAGAGAAACACCCTTAACCAAAAATCTCTCATTAAGGTTGCTGCTAGGCTAAATTGACATTCTTTGGGGGATTTCTACTAACACATTTATTATCTTGTTGAATCACACAGATTTCATACGGACAAGTAGCATCTGCCCTACTTTCCCCAGTATTGGGCTTTAATCCATGTCCTGATTCTGTAGACTGTGCTGGTCCAGGGTACTATGCTAGGCCATGACAGGTTCATTCCAGGTTTGATGACAGGTGACTCTCAGAGGTCCCAGCTTTGGCAAAGCAGCAGGCCCATGGCTGATGAGTGTGTCCACCTGGGCTCAGGTGAGAGGCAATGGTTTTCCCTAATCGCCAGTGCTCAGGGACCAGCCCATAAAATATGCTAGAGCTTTTTATAGATCAAGGCCTTAGAGTGGCATTATTGTATTGTTTTGTTTTCTTCTCCAACCCCAGGGAACAGCCTCCCAGGGCATTATTTTTATTAGCATCTAAAATGATCTACAATATCTGCATTTAAGCTATTGGCTATCAAACAGACCAAAGAGCAAAGCGTATACCTCACACCACAGGTTACATGAATTCATTCTTTATTTGAGCAGCCACATCATTTAATCATGTTAGCTATGGTTTGAGTCTCTGCTTAAGAACTCATAGAACATAGTGCTTTATATTTTCTTGGGTGAGAAATGTTTTTTTTTAAAGTTCATCAGAAGTTTATTTAAAACACTATGAAAATATGGCCATGCTGAAGAGGTTAGAAATTTAGATGGATGAGTTGAGAAATAGGATGAGGAAGGATCAAAATGCCCCTGGAGTTCTGGAACAGGATGAGAGGGGAACAGTATAACAGTGATGGATACTGCTTTTTAAGTTTTATTTCGACATGCTCTATGGCATAACCTTTAGAAGTAATATATTGTTAAACTGCTATGCCAACTCAATGAGGTGGATATTGAGGACTCCACTTGAAAGCTAAGGAAACTGAAAGTCAGAGAGGTGAAGTGATTCCCCTGACAGGGGCTGAAGCACCTTAGCCTGAGAACACCCCAGCAGGGAAGATCGTGGTTTGGGGGTGAGGATCACCTCAAATACGGTAGCAGGTGACTAGAGGGTTCAAAGGGCAATGAATGGATCTCAGTGTCCATGGAATCCAGATGGTGCTGTCTCCTTACTTAGCACTGGGGTCATTGTTCCAATAGACATGTGTATTGCATGTGGCAGGCATGATGGCCAGGTCTAGGGCACAAAAATGAATGAAGCATACAAGTCCTTTCCTTCCCAGAGTTTACTGACCAGGGTGGGGGGGGGGCAAGATGGATCCAAATCATAACAGCTTCACAGACAGCTGCAGCTGGGATAGCACCAGGGTGTATGGAGAGCTGGGAGCTGGCCCAGCAGAGTGGCCTGGGCTAATCTGGAGCAGGCACTTCTGCTACGGATGCAACCCACAGGCCAAGACCTGAAGGATGAGGAACCATTAACCAGGGAAAGTAGGGAGGTGGAGCCATGGAGGAATATGCAGTTTTCTAGGCAGTGGGAGGAAAGGGCTTGGCCCATTTGAGAAACTGAAGGTGCCCATCCTTTAATAGAGGGGTGATGTCTCCATTGGACTGAGGGACATAAGGTGACCAGTTGTCTGATGTGGGATGGGGAAGAACATTTCTCACATCCCTCTGTAGCTCTGTTGACCCTCAGCATGGCCCAGACATACACCTGACAGTCTCACTTCTACCCCCTCAATGTTGCACCCCATTTCCAAGCCTGTCTCCCCACACATGGTGTTGTCTAGGTCCCCAGACTGCCTAATTCATATTTGTTTATCCAAATCTCCAAAGAGCTTTTATTCAGTAAGTGTTTGGTGAACTGAGATGAACTGAACGACATTTTTTTTTTTTTGCTTCAATTCTTTTATTGGTACATTTTAGGTATACAATACGTTGACATTTATCATTGGGTGCTTGTACCTGTGCATGATGTATCTTGGTTATTTTTTCCCCATTCCCTGTGAACCCTCCACCCCCTCCACCCTTCCCTATTTACAAAGACTTTGTTTCCATTTTTTTCTTTTCTCATAATTTTTCCTTTCCCTTTTTTCCTTTCCCCTTCCCCTCCCACTTCCCCTACCCCTTTGGAACTTTTCTTCCTATTTCAAATTATTAATTATTCATTTTAATCATTTTAATCCTTATTTACACTTTCAGTTTCTCATATTAGAGGAACTATTCAGTATTTACACGTGTGTCCTATTTATTTCACTTGAGTATCGCCTCAATGTCCATCCATTTAGCTATAAATGTCTCTAATTTCTCATTCTTTGTGGCCGAATAGTACTCCATTTTATTAAAAAAAAAAAACCCTGTATCTTCTTTATCCAGTTTCCAGTTGATGGGCACTTGGGCTATTTCCAAGCTTTAGCTATTACAAACTGTGCCACTGTAAACATGGGTGCACATATATCGCTGTGGTATGATTCTTTTAATTCTTTTGGGAAGATCCCCAGCAGGGGAATAGCTGGGTCAGATGGGACCTCTAGCCCTAGATCTTTGAGGTATCTCCATACTGACTTCCACAGTGGTTGCACCAGCCTGCACTCCCACCAACAATGGAGAAGGGTTCCTTTCTCCCCACACCCCCACCAGCATTTGCTATTGGTTGATTTCTTGATAGCAGCCATTCTTTCTGGGGTGAGGTGGAATCTCAGTGTTTGAACAACATTTACAAGATGCACTACAGAGTCAGTGTCACCGGGCACAAAAGGCCACATATGGCATGGTTCCAATTACATGGAACGTCCTGAGCATGTGTGTGCACATGTGCACACACACACACACACACACAGACATAAAGTAGACTAGTAACCAGGAGCTGGGGGATGGGGGAATGTGGAGTGATGCTAATAGGTTTGGGATTCTGGGGAATTGATAAAAATGTTCTGGAATTAGAGAGTGCTGATGCCTGCACAACTCTAAATATATAATAAATTAACTGTATAATTTAAAAGGGACCACAATGAATATAATTAGTGTGTAAATAGCTACTGATATACTACTAACACTGCAAATATCTACTAAGAAAAGCTTTTAAAATGTTCTAAAAATTAAAAAATAAAAAGGGAGAGTTTTATGTTTACAAATTATATTTCAAGGTCAAGGAGGGATGGGAAAAAAAGAAGCAAGATATATCATGCACAGGCACAAATTCCCTATGATGAGTGTTATCATTATGTATATCTAAAATGTACCAATAAATGTTTTGCTTCAAAAGGAAATAAAGCACATGCACACAAAAAAGGCAAACTATACTTCAACGAAGCTGTTCTTTATTTGAAAAAAAAAGAGAAACCAACAACAGACGGACTCCAATGATAGTGGGAAAAGTAACTTTGAATCAGGAAACCTGGTAATTGAATCGTCATGTATAAAGTGGTCACAAACTTTTCCCCTTCTCATGAGGTCTAAGTACCAGAAAAGACCTCACAAGGCTGAGCATACCAAGATGCCAGGCTATGTTCACCAGCTTGAGCCCAAACAAGGAGAAAGGCTTCTGAAGATATGCTGTCATTTTCCCGAGAGGAGTACATCCCTTACTGTCACCATGGCAACATCCGACATCACTAAGCTGCCTTGACAGGAGATCTTGTATGCTTTGGGCTCCATAACCCAAGATACAAGGGCAAAATTCAGCTCTGGAAAACTCAATGATTCCAATGATTTTTGTTGCTGTTGCTATTTTTATTCTTTCTAGTGATTCTACTACTAGTGAGGTTTTCCTGTTTTTGTGACTGAGTTTCTACAGAAGAACTCATGTAGCCTGGAAAATGCATGACCTACCTGGTATACTGTAGGCGGAAGGGCAGGAGCCATGACTGTATTACTCAGTAAGACAGCTTTGCACACACAAAGAGGCATGAAGGAACAAATGAGTAAATGAATATTTAAAGTGTATTTTAAAAATTTACTTTAAATGGAAAGAACTTTCAAAGAATAATGCTTATTATATTGAAACCATTGTAAATAAAAATAAAACTAGTAAAAAAGAAACATAATTTAGTCAAAATCATCCATCCATTCACTCATTCATTCAGCACATATTTATTGAGCACTGTGATG